CGTATGGATAGATTTTGGCCATGAAGTAGGCTTTATCATCGTTCAAACTAAGTGTAGGGTGAGTAATGTAAAGTGCCTCCAACAATTGCTGAGGTGAGTTACCATCATTAGCCTGCTGCGGTTTTGGAAGCAATTCCAAATGGAATGTGCTATTGTCAACTAAATCATTATTCACATGAAACATGTAGTCCCTGTCCCAGTTCTTTCCAACAAAAGTATCTGCCATGCACCAGATGGAAACCTTCCAGGCACTTGAGGCAGAGCAGTAAAAACGGTCGATGACCTTGATGCAGCCTTGGACAACGACAATGTCCCGTGCAAGGACTGGTTGGAGTCGGAGCTTCTTGTTGTCCCTGAGTGACCGTGGGAATGGGAGGTAATGCAGAGACTTGTTATTACAGTCAAGAACATCGCATATGAGGATACCTCGCCAGAGATCAACAAAACCCATTAAACCCCTTTTCTTATTACAGTCAAGAACATCGCATATGATTGCTTTTCTCGGAGAAAAACGAAACTGGCGATGTTGGTTCTCTTTGCCATGTACAGAAAGGCACTGGGAACTCCAACTTTCAGTCCTGGAGTCGAATAGGTGTAGGACGAACTGCCATGATTTTTTTGATGAACCGATTAATGAGGCAATATGGTACTGGTCGTCGTATGGGTTGGTGATATCGCGATGGCGGAGAATGCCTCTATTAAAGAACAAGCACACTACTGGAACTTGTTGTCCCGGACGGTAACGACCTTTAGTCCTGGTTATCGTGCTGGAGCAACGATCCCGGGACTAAAGGTGCCACCGAACTAAAGAGGGACCTTTAGTCCCGGTTGGTATTATCAACCGGGACTAAAGGCCCTCCAGCCGAGCAAATGTGGCCGCACCCTTTAGTCCCGGTTGGTAACCCCAACCGGGACTAAAGGTTCCTTTTCTTTTTTTTTTGTTTAATTTGTTTTCAGTTCAATTACACGTATTTGTTTAATATATAATATGTTTTTAATGTACGTATTCTACGCTGCTAATATAAATACACGCATGCATATAATTACATCTAATTCTCATCTCGAGCATTATTATATTCGAATAAAGTATGAACCTATATATATTATAGATATATATGTATATATACAACACTTTTCATAATCTTGTTCTCGAAAATAACGATATCAATAAACATTTAATTTACACCATTTATTCCTTAGGATCAAAGTAGAACTCGCCGTTGGGATTTAGCACTTTTTTTAGAAGAAATCTTGCTATTGACTCTTGAACTGCTTTCAGATGGTCTTTTTGCATGACCCTTTGTTTCAACCATTCAGTCTTGCATTTAAAATAAAAGGAAAAATATTAATACATATATATATATATATTCATTTAAAAATAAATAAAAAATTGATATATACGTACTCTGAGGACATCTTTAGGAGTTCTTATGTGCGCAGTGACAAATTCACAAACGTAGTATCCACACAAGTTATTACCTGGTTGCTGCCGCAAACACCACTGTACGAGAAGAAGATTATTCTCATCATCTCACACGTAAATTGAAACACGTGGGGAAGTATATATAGTACAACTTACTGGTATTTCAACTACATTAAGTGGTGCCTTGCAATCCTTACGGTGTTGCCGAATAAACTCTTTTCAAACCCTGTGTGACCAATAATGTACGATCGTTAATAAATTATGACAAAGTCTATTCAATAATAGTTATGCGCGAGAGATCGAAATTACCCCTGGATAATGTCTATCATATCTTGGTATAGTGCCTACAGAAGCAGTTCCGTGGCTACACGTATTCTCAGCAGACAAGGATACCTACAGAATCCGTCAGAGAAAGAAGGATGAGGAGGCAGAACGAATCCGTGTATTGGAGCAATTTATTGATGAGTCACGACAAGCATTGCTTGAATCACGTGAACGAGAAAAATCTCTTGAGGCAAGAATGCAGGAGGAGATCAAGAGGCAAGTGCAGCTAGCAAAAAGTCAAATGCAATCGCAATCAACGCCGGGAGTCACCATTAGCCCCGTTGGTCAGATAAAAAGCAGTTGTGCTTCTACGGAGCTGCCAGTTATTCAAGATGACGCTGAGTTGCGCTTCCCTGTTGATGACATTACCGAGCCTCTAACAACATGTGAGCTGCACATTTCAGATGGTAATAATGCATCAATCATGGTGGCTGTCGGGGTTGTATCTCCAATAGACCGAACGAAGACACCAAGAATCCATGGGTCAGTTATTCAACCTGGATATGCTAGCGTCTTGATCGATAGAGTGCTCAAAGGTTACAGCAATGTTCCTCTTGACATTGAAGGTGGTGATGGAGAGAAGACACTAGGAGAAGCAGAGAAGACATTTATTCAATGACGCAAACGCTTCATCATCATTCCTGGAGTGCCACCGCTTCCCCTACCTCACCCTAGGTACGAATGAAAGTGAATGAAATATTATTTTCCATTAATTTTCTATTGGCTTCAAAAATAATTGACACACAACTTGTTTTTGTAGCAGGGTCTCCCCCTAGCCTAGCCTAATCATTCATTCCCCATCTCATCACAGCGTCGCGGGGGGCGAGACGACTTCATCCCCACGGCGATCGCCAACTCCTACACCGGTCCCATCGCCTCCACAACGATCTCCAACTCCTACACCGGCTCCACCGCCTCCACAACGATCTCCAACGCCTCCACGCCGGTCTCCACCAACACCGGCCTCATCGCCTCCACGCCGGTCTCCAACACCGCCCCCACCCCCTCCACAGCGACGCACTACAAAGACGTCTAAGGTCCCGGCGGCAAAGAAGACCCCGAAAAAAAGAGTTATTTCTCAAGAAATACTTCCTAAAAAGACTGATGAGCAAATAGCAGCTGAAGAAGACAAAAAATTGAAAGATTTTTTTATAGATATCAAAAACAAGAGTCAAGCGAAGCTTAAGGAGAAGCCGTACTTTTTACATACCATGAGATGTGCTTTGAGGCGTAAGGTCGATGCTCACAAGAAAAAGATGATTGAACTTCGTAAGCCTTCGCCACTATCGGACTATGACCCGCTCCCTCGTGAAGTCACATGATGCGAGATAAGAAAAGGAAAAGAGCATCGGGGAAGGATGTCCCACAGCTCGGACAATGAAGCAACCAATGCAAAATCTTGTTGTTGCTAATGAATATGGTTCCAACATAGAAGTCTATCGACCGGCATAACTCTCGGAGAAGTGTCGGTTCAAGCCCTTAATGCTTTTTTTTTGAAGATCTTTGGTTTAACCTTGGATCAATTGACACGCATTACCCTGGAATGCGAGTAAGGGTCGTCGAGCATGATCAGACCAAGTCCGGACGCCAAAGATGACGGAGGTGCGCCTCCGCGGCTTTGATTATGGGCTCTACACCTAGATCGGCGAGATGAGTAGATTAGGGCACCGAGAAAATGTAAGTAGGAGACAACAAAGAGCGGCATAACGTAGAAGGTAACATGGATCTCCACGCCGTTACGCAGGTGGCCATAAGCCGTCGTTGCGTTGTGACAGTCGGTGATGTAGGCCCTCACGTCGAGAATAGTGCACCAGCCTCGTCGGGGAGCTGGTGGTCCTCAACAGGCGGACGCAGCAACGCTTCCTGAAAATTCTTCTTGGCCATGAATCCCCGTACCTTCTCCTCCTCCGCCGCCCTGAGACGTTTAAGTAGAGCAGAGGGCAAATCAGATTCGGGAACAAATTGAGGTCAGATAAGGCCATGTTCGTTTCTCACGGAATGGAGGCCTAGAATGATTCCAGCCAGGAATATTGTGTAAATTTATACTATTTTTGATCATCTGGAATGAATTCATCAGGAACGAGGGCTAAACGAACGAGCCCTAAGGGATCCAAACGGATTGCATCGGGAGAATCCGGAGAAGAAAGGGGAGAGACGCCAGGTTACCCACGCGGATACAGAACTGGTGCCGGAAAAAGGATTAATTGTTTGCTTCCTCGTCCTACCTAGATTTGGAAGTTCCACCGGTGAGTCAAGGTCTCTTCCCGAAGATCGGCAATCTGTGTTGTTGCATTCGGCCATCACCGCTACCAGCCGGAGAGACGCCAGTGCCGGCATGCCACTGTTGCTACTGCTGAAAGTGCTGATCGGTGCTCGTGCATGCCATGTCCTACACAAACCACTTCACTTTTACCCCTCTCACTAGTCACTATCTGCTGATCTCTCTCTCTCTCTCTCTCTTTTGAACCTTACTATCTGCTGATCTCAGGGGTAGGATTCATTATTTTGGATCAGTTTTGTTTCTGAAAAGTGACAAATATACTCCCCTCGGTCTCACAGCCTGCGGAGCACACAGGTCGAGTAAAATTGGGCCTCTAATGGGCCGAGTCTTCTACGTGGGCCACGCAGGGCGAGGCTCTAGGCTCGCCGGCCTCATCCTCCCCTCGTCCCTCGATTCGGAGGGATTAGAACGAACCCGCATTAGCATATTCTCTACTGGGTTGAACCCAGTTTCATCTAACCCCGAACCAAACAGCAGCCCATCTAGGTCGGACCCGGTTTCCTTAAAAAAAAAAAGAATCGGACCCGGGATATCCCACCCCAACCACCAATCCAAACACACGGTTACATTCGCTTTGCAGTCGTCGTCCTCGTTCTCCCTTCTCCTAGTCCTTGGCGCGTAGTGGCAAACTGGAGAGGTGAGGTCTACAATCATCCGGCGACCCGGACCTCGATTGGCGCCTTCTGCTGTTGGTAAGGAAGCCCTACTTCTCTTGGATGAATTCTTCTACGACACAGTCTTGTCCCACAGGATCGTTTCTTTGCTGCGACCAATCAATCCGAAATCTTTCCTGCTCGGACGGATACTCCAATCCACCCAGTTTGTTGCGTGCTGAAGCTCTAGTAGCGTAGTTTATTTTTCCAATAATAAATTTGGGGGTTTCAACTGAACCTGCCCTCCCGTGCTATCTTCAATCGCTCGGCACTAATAGCACTATATAGAACTGATTATCTGTACTAGCCACTAGACCTGATGGGAAGCGGAGACGGCACCGGTGACAGCACGGAAGGCCAGGGCTATGCTGCCGACATTGATTCCATCAGGGAGGCGCAGGCACGCATTGCGCCGTACATCCACAGGACGCCCGTTCTGTCGTCGACGTCCATCGATGCCATGGTGGGGAAGCAGCTCTTCTTCAAGTGCGAGTGCTTCCAGAAAGCGTGAGGGTTACTGACCGATGTGTTGTTATTCAGTTCTGGGATGCTCTGTATTTGGTACTGTACTGATTGTTTTAGTGGGGAAATGTTGTGTTGTGTAGGGGCGCATTCAAGATCCGAGGTGCTTCGAATTCGATATTCGCACTTGACGATGAGCAGGCATCAAAGGGCGTTGTGACACATAGCAGGTTTGGTGCTAGCTTCATCTTCATTGTTCTTTCTGCAATTTTTAGAACAGAAAGGCATCGATATGACGATATAGTAGGATGGTTTCTTTGCAGTGGGAACCATGCCGCCGCCGTGGCTTTGGCTGCAAAGCTGCGTGGCATACCTGCACACATTGTCATACCAAGAAATGCACCAGCGTGTAAGGTTGAAAATGTTAAGCGGTATGGTGGTCATATTATCTGGAGCGATGCCAGCATTGAATCGAGAGAATCTGTTTGTAAAAGAGTCCAGGAGGAGACTGGTGCTGTTCTTATTCATCCCTTCAATGATAAATACACTATCAGGTGTGTTTTAGACTTTTGGTCATGATTTTTTTTTCTTATAACTCTTCTATTACATGAAAAATCATATCCATTCCCCAAAGATAGAGGTCCGTCCAATATGCAACGAGATTATTTATCTGTTTTATTTCACAATGGCTTAGAGCCTTAGACATTACTTCAGGTAATGTTAGGTGGATTTAGTGTATAACTTATCTTTATGTCCATGTTAGAGCATCTCCAAGAGATTGTCTAAAATTAGTTGCCAAATTCCATATTTTAGCTATTCTGTAAAATAGAAAACTCCTCAAAAGAAGAGGACTCTACAACAGCCTAGCTATTTCTCATCTTCTATATTGAAAAGTTCGACGTCACCTGCCCAAATTCCAACCGGGCAAACTACCATGATGGTGCCTGAAACACAGGTAGTAGCATCTTCATCGTGCTCACATTAGAAGCAGCTCCTTTACAGAGTTCATATCGATGACATTGCAAAGTACAGATCATTGACATGGCTCAGTACAAAACTGTATATTCCAGCACAATATAGATGAACTTTGTCAAGTCTGATCACTGCAACTAGCTGCTGATCTCTTCGATTTGTTCTACTGGAGTAGTAGCCTAGTACTCTATTAAAAGAACAGCATTGCTGCTAGTCTGCTACTACTGGAGCCGTGCAGGTGCAGCGCGGTGGCCAGCAGAACCAGCAGCATACGAGTTTGCTACACGGCGCCACAGTTCGGCGGCCTCCACAGAGCCCCTGGTGCGGGTGCGGCTGATCTGATGACTAGTTAAGCTGTGCCTGTTCCCACCGTCACCCGCGCGCCGCCATGACCGCCTCCTCCTGCAGCTCGGCCGGTGTGGGGCACTGGGGCGGCACGGGGACAGGGAGGATGATGGCGAATGCAGGCACACAGCTACGTGAATTTGTGTATCCATGGCAATGTTGACGAGCACCGGCACCTAGAGGGAAGCGACGACGCCGTAGAGCACGACGGTGGTTGTGGACGGGAAGGGTCGAAGCCAGACAAAGCAATGTACCGGCGGGGTGTCGGGAGAATAGAGCCGCGCGAAGTGCTCTCTCGCGGGAAGGACTCCCCGCACCTGGGAAATCGCGCGGGAGGAGCGATGGCGAGCGTCGTAGGTTTGCTTTATTTACCTGGCGGAATTCATGGGATAGCCGGCTGGGTATTTTAGAAAGCCAGATACAATATCTGTTGGAGTCTATTTTATACCACAAATTATCTAAACTGGATTCAAAATAAAAAATAGCATCTCTGTTGGAGTTGCTCTTAGTCCTAGTTCCTAAATCCTAAGCAACTGTTTTCTAGTGCAAGAGAAGTCAGTCCAGCATTTGGAACTGATGTTTTTTTTTTCATGATCACTATGATTTGAAAGAAGTTTGCCCAAATAGTTTCATTAGCAATTTACTGAAGGACAGAGCATATAGGTTTAGAAGTCAGTTCACCTTTCTGGGGTCCTGTGTCGTCCCTGGAATGTTGAGGACCAGTGAACCACATGTGTCCATGTACTAAGAATTTCAATCAGATGTTTACTTCAGTGCTGATGGATTCTTCTAGTGAAATGATTGCAAAAAAATGATATGGAGTTACTTGATACTGATGTTAGCACATCAACTCACTTTTTTATTTTGCTTGTTGGGCCATTTGTTCTAAATGAATACCCAATTTTACTTTTAGACAAAAGTAAGGCCCTGCTTGTATAGAAGGTTACAGATTTCAGGAGAAATGTGGGTAGCGGAAAGAAAGAACTTGGAGCTTAAGTTTGTGGGCACAACTGGGCACAAAAGGAAGCAAAATGACATGAAATAAAAAAGGCTGCTTAACCCATTCACAGTGTACTGTAAAATATGGACCAAAAAATACAAACTACTGCTATCATGTCATGTGAACCATTTCTAAATCAACCCACTTTCTCAGGTTTCGCGTTGTGCGTTGCTGATATGTACTCTTAATGCATGGCAATTTGTGATGATTTTCCAGTGGTCAGGGTACAGTATCTCTTGAACTTTTGGAGCAAGTCCCTGAAATTGACACAATTATTGTTCCCATTAGTGGTATGTACTGCATGAACTTTTTTATGATGTAAATGATACAATTTCGTTTCTAAACTAGCATTTTTTTTTGACTGAACTATAGGCGGTGGTTTAATTTCTGGTGTGACTCTTGCTGCAAAGGCCATAAACCCTTCGATACGCATTCTGGCAGCAGAACCAAAAGGTGCTGATGATTCTGCGCAGTCTAAGGCTGCTGGAAAGATCATCACATTGGCTTCCACAAACACCATTGCTGATGGACTACGAGCTTTTCTTGGTGACTTAACATGGTAAATCAATTTGCAACAAATATCCATAAACCTTTTTGCTTGCTTTGTTGAGTTCTTTTGAGCCTTTCTAAAATGCCCACCTTGTTTCTTGGTACGTTGGTGAAAATGTTGGAATGTTTGGCCAGAAGGTTTCTTGAGTTAATTTCCTGAACTGATTTGCATCACTGCCAATACTCAATGTTAGGTTGTTCGGGTAGAACTTCCAGTTACACTGAGAATTATGATACTGGAAGTGAAAGGAGCACTGTATTTTTTTTATATAATGAAATTAATCTACACCAACAAGGGATGCACATAGTCTTTAATCTTTTTAAACATGTGGACTAGGATTTGAACCCTAGTTGGGTAGAGTTCGTGCACCCACAGCTCCACCACCACACAAGAGGTGCTTTCACAAAGAAGGATTATATCAAATATATCAAGTTTCTGAAGCAATACTCCAGAGCACTTCTAAGCTCAGCATTCGTTCGTATTTAATTTTTTTTTTTTTTTTTTTTTGGAATTTGGTACATTTGGTCTCTGTATTTTAGGCCTGTGGTGCGTGACTTGGTGAACGATGTTATCGTTGTGGATGACACTGCGATTGTGGACGCCATGAAAATGTGCTATGAGATCCTGAAGGTGGCTGTTGAGCCTAGTGGCGCAATTGGCCTGGCCGCAGCACTGTCCGACGAGTTTAAGCAAAGCTCTGCTTGGCATGAGAGCAGCAAGATAGGGATAATTGTTTCCGGAGGCAATGTTGACCTCGGCGCTCTTTGGGAGTCTCTGTACAAACAATGATTTGGAGTAGGACCGATGACATTGTCCTTGAATTTCAAATGTACTAGTTTTAGGCAAGACGTTTGTAAACTTGGAATAGTTCATTGCAAACTGTCTTGTCTGTTGAATTACTTGTAGAAAACATTCTGCCGTACACTTCTTTTATGTTTATAAATGGATCATTCAGTTGCAGCGACATGGCTGAAAACCAAAGGCTGGGGGGCAGCAGTTTTCCCCTCCAAATGTTCTTCAAATCGATTCTCCAGTTTTGTTTTTGGTTTTTTTTTTGCGAGACAAATCGATCGATTCCCCGTTGATATGTACTCCCTTTTTTTGACAAAAAAATAAGCTCGACTGATTTACGCTGGAAAAATGAGTTCCGCCCGGTTGTTAGGACGTAGTTACTAGTAGAGGCCCAGACTCCAGAGGCTCATGTAGTGAGAAATCCGTCGGTCTAGTAGGAAAACACGAATCTTAAAGCGCCCCTTCCACCCGAAAGAACCCTCCGAGTTCCGACCTGCTGCAGTGCTCACACGTTTCTCACCTCCCGCCGCCGCCGCCGCCGCCGAGGAAGACACTAGCCATAGCAAGCAAGTGCGAGGAGGAGCCGGCGTAGCCATAGATGGCCAACAAGCGTCAGCGGGAGGCGCGGAAGCACTTCCGAGAGGCGAACCCAGGCCTATTCCCTCCGCAGCCCGCCCCTTCTGCCGACGGTGCCAAAAAGAAGAGCAAGAAGAACAAGAAGACCATGTTCAAGAAGCCCAAGAAGGGCGGCACGGGGAGGTTTAAGCACCCGCTGCGGGTTCCCGGGATGCGCCCCGGGGAGCGCTGCTTCATCTGCAAGTCCACCGACCACGTCGCCAAGGCTTGCCCCGAGAAGGCCCTCTGGGACAAGAACAAGGTACGAACCTACTATAGTCACCTAGAAATAGACGCGCCGTAGTTAGAAACTTGTAAGGCTAGTTTTGTTTAGGGAAGAACCAATTGCTAAAGATGCCATGGACGCCGAATGATGTAGTATTGTACCTCACCTTTGAAGTGGATTTAAAGCAACTGTAATTTTTTCCTGGCATTGTTGGGTAGAACCTTCAAAGTTTAGAACCGAACAAATGATGGTGACTTTCAATAGTCTAGGACCGCCGTTGTGCAACTGCTAACGCATACTTGCTAGATGTATACTCTCAATTGGACTTTTGGGCAAACATGTGCCACGTTCATTAGTGATTATATGATGAACTGGAAGCTTCCTGCTGTCACATGCTCGTGTTAATTGACTGCATTGAGTGTTAATTAGTGGTGTTTCTAAATGTTTTTTTTTTCTGTCCGTTGGTTTCATAACTGATAGCCCATTTGAAGTGATCCGTTTCAGTTTCCTTGAAAAATATAATAATACGATTTTTTTCTCCAGATTTGCTTGCTTTGCAGGGAGCGGGGCCATAGTCTGAAGAACTGCCCTGAAAAAAGCGAGGGAAATTTGAAGAAATTTTGCTATAACTGTGGTGAATCTGGACATTCTCTTTCCAAGTGCCCCAAGCCCATTGAGAATGGTAATCCTTGTGCATCCATCGTAGGCATTTCAGGTACTCTATGCCTGCTAGCAGTGTTATCATTGCTTGCTTATGTGGTTTCTATCTGCAGGGGGAACGAATTTTGCAAGCTGCTTTATCTGCAAACAGCAAGGACATTTGAGCAAGAACTGCCCTGAAAACAAACATGGCATCTATCCAAAGGTACTTTACGATACTCGCCGATGCCTTCTCAATTCTCATGATACTGCGAATGCAAGGCATTGCTTCCATTATGCGGCAATAGTTTATTAGAAACAAATATGTCATGCGCTCATGCCTAACAGGAAGTGTTTTTGGTTCATTATTATTCTTTTTAATTGCTATAAGCTGCTGTGGTCACCTGCAGCTTGAGAACCGAGTTTTTTCTTTCTTGTTTTGCATAATGATGCATCATGCAAACAAATGGATTGGGAAGTCTTCATATATATGGTAAAGATTGATATGTTAAGTGGAGGAATTTTTTAATTTTTTTCTGTGAATTCTATCCAATCTATAAACCCAGCTTGAACTTATCTATACAATTCTCTCTGATGGTTATCCTTGCTCAGAATTCAGTGAACAGTTTATATAAACTTCTTGATTGAATTTCAAGTCCCTCAAATAATCTCCCAAGTCCATCCCCTGGGTGGCCCTGCACAGACCTATCTGATGAAAATCTCGTGTTTGGAGACGTCAATACTCCTTAATGTTGAAGCATTTTTCTTTTTATTATTGTTGAGACTGCTTCTACTTGGTTTGTTTTGTTTTTCTATTAATTTGAGCATCCTTGCATGTGAATCTCAACTCCATACTATTTTCAGGGTGGTTGTTGTAAGGTATGTGGAGAAGTTACCCACTTGGCCAGACATTGTCCGAATAAAGGGAAACAAGATTTGATATCCTCCAGAGATGATGGTAAGCAGACCAAAAATATACTTAACGTATCTTTGCATTGTCAGAATTGTTTTTTACACATTATCAAGATTTGGAGCATGAACCAGCATATGCAATGTTCTTGTGATTGATATATATATTCAACCTGCCTATTGTTATTCTCCAGTCTCTGCAGTAAGCAGACAAGTGTTTTGCAGTATTGTAATGGTCTATACGAATATGGACCATATTATTGTTGGTACATTTGAAATATAAATAATTTTACCATACCCGTGGAATGATGATTCAGGAAATGAATATAATTAATTTGTTCTTAAGAGCTATACTTTTCTTTGTTTTTAGTAGAGAACTTAATTTTGGATAGGAATTCTGTATTTGTAGCGTGTAGGCTGCATATCGTGGCGTCACACTGTTAGGATGGATGGAATCTGCTTTTTATTTGTTAATGATGGTTGGCTGAAATAAATTATAATTTGTTGTAGTACATTGAGATGGTCATTAAGCTGATCTGCTGATTCAATTGATCTTCTGTAGTTGTCCAGTGCTGGAATAAGAATAGCTAATGTCTGGTTTATTTTTCTTATATAAGATGTCAACATGGAAGAGCACAATCAGGAAGGTCCTGCCATTCACCATGGTGGAGATGACCTCGAGGATGATTTCGTTGATGAAGAGGAACCAAAACCTGCCAAATCAAAAAAGGCAAAGCAATCAGGTCCAAAGCCAGCAACAGGGACGGGAAATGAGGAGAAGAGCGCCAGTGCGAAGACAAAAGCCAAGCAAGCTCCTAAAGTTGTAAAATTCTTTGGTTAAAGAGTGGAAATGTTGCTGTAGCTTAAGATACAAATGATCCTTCTGGACAACCCCGTACTGTCAAGTGGTTGTGTAACGCTGATGACGATGAGAACACGTCTGCCAACTACATACGCCTCTGCATGGTTGCCCCTAAAGTGTTCTTGTCATTGTTTGGCTAGCATTGGGCTATGCAAAAGGCCTGTTCGGCTGGTATTAAAGCTGGCTGAAACTGTTTTGTTGTGAGAGAAAAATATTATAGATTCTAGCTGATAAGCCGGCTCATAAGTTCAAGCGAACATGCCCGATTCGCTCAATTTTCACATCCAGACACCCATCAAGATACGGTTTTACTTTTACGTGTTTCCTGTTCGCTCCTTGAAGAACACGAGATAAACCAGCTGCCCTGGTAGCAATCTGTGTATTCTTTCAAATGTTCAGACGCTAGAGAATGGTGTTCCTCATGTTGTGCCAAAACTAGAAAGGTGAATCTGATGACCAATCAGCCATGTCACTTCGCTGTCACAGCTCACGGTCACGGTTAGTGTTCCTCATGTTGAGCCAGCCGGTTGAAGCTAGCGACGATGGCGCGCATGCCTACCGCGCCGCTACCGGCCGCACACGAAGGAGGGGACGTGCTTGGTCAAGCGCGCGCGGCCTCTTCTCCTAACGTGGCGGCATGGCGCCGGCCTCACGTCCCGTTTCCTATATTTCGCCTGCTCCCTTCCCTGTCTTCCAGGCCTTGAAAACCTTTGCTCCCCCGTCTGGCGCGATCGCCATCGCCATTGCGCACCGCCTCCCCGTCGTCCCCTCCTCGCCCGCCACCGTCGAGCCCGGCCCGGCTGTGGAAACAAAACGAACCCATCAACCATGGTGAGTGAATGAGTGATCGAGCACTTGATAATCTTTCTCCTGATGAACGTATATCTTGCCAATGGTTCAAGATCTTGTTTGTTGTGGCAAAATAAATAATAAATGATGCAATGCAAGCAGGCGAACTCGGCGTCGGGGATGGCCGTGAGCGACGAGTGCAAGCTCAAGTTCCAGGAGCTCAAGTCGAAGCGGAGCTTCCGGTTCATCACGTTCAAGATCAACGAGCAGACGCAGCAGGTGGTGGTGGACAGGCTGGGGCAGCCCGGCGACACGTACGACGACTTCACCGGCTCCATGCCCGACAGCGAGTGCCGCTACGCTGTCTTCGACTTCGACTTCACCACCGACGAGAACTGCCAGAAGAGCAAGATCTTCTTCATCTCCTGGTAATAAATGCATGGAATATATATCGAGACCGTACGTCCGATTATGCTGCGTGCTGCATGATCTCTCTTCATTCGTCGTATTGATATTATCATCTCCGTACATGTATATATGCCAAATCAATGCCGAAATGCATATATGCATTGCATTGCACCGCCCTGCAGGTCCCCGGACACGTCGAGGGTGAGGAGCAAGATGCTGTACGCGAGCTCCAAGGACCGGTTCAAGAGGGAGCTGGACGGCATCCAGGTGGAGCTGCAGGCCACCGATCCCAGCGAGATGGGCATGGACATCGTCAAGGCACGAGCTCTCTGAGTCTCAAGACAAGGCGCGCGCAGACGCTCGCGCGATCGACATGCTCGGATGCCCCGGATCGGAACAGTGCTGTGTTGTCTTGCATCGACGACCGGTGGCCTCTGCCTGCCTGCTTGTGTACCCGTGTGCCGTTTTTGCACTACCGCCGGTGCCAGCGTTCTCTTGCTCCCATGTAAACTACTCGATCTAGACCATTTTTCTTCTGTGTCCAAGATTTAGACGGCATATATGTCGATGATCCTTGCTTTTGTTGCCGAGGGTACAATATATATGTCTTCCGCTGCTCCGTGGGTACGGTGTCGTCACTCCATATAGGCACTAGGCAGTGCCATTTCGAAGAGAACTGTTGCAAATTTTAACTAACTTGTTTTTAGAGTGCGTTTGGTTGGACATATTCCTTCCGGTCACATAATTCACACTTCGCGTATATATGACGTTATCTATAAAAATATAGCTTTAACCATTACTATTTTATTCACAAAACTTTTATTTAATAAAAGAGATACTAAAAGTATATCTACCATGAAACTATATGTCTATTGAGGACTGCTCCACAAACTTTTCTTCATAAAACGTGAAACGGAGCTGAAAAAAATCAAGTATAGCGGTTCCAAACAGGACCTATATTTCAAGGCAAGTCTATCCATATCATCGTCAAATATCCTAGCTCAACACATAAAAAGTTATAGCCAAAGGTTTGGAATAGTTTTTTTTTTACCATAAACAACTTTATAATTAGCAGCAATGCGCTGCAAGTATTGTTACACCAGTTAAGCCTACAGAATGTAGAGCTTGTAGAACATTGCACTGAGTCATATGATGCTCTAAAGAACAGGAGAATTCCAGATCAGAGCTCTGGAAAGGGGAGTGTTGCACAGCTTGGTGGGCTAGAGCATCTGCCGTCACTGGTGCAGCAAGGCTTTTTGCTCCCGGTTGGGAAACCCCTTTAGTCCCGGTTTACCAACCGGGAGCACCAATCCGGGACTAAAGGTACCCTCCTTTAGTCCCGGTTTCTCGTCCGGGACTAAAGGTCCACATTTAGTCCCGGTTGGTAATACCAACCGGGACTAAAGAGGCCTCCCGGCCTGGCCACGTGGGGCGACCCTTTAGTCCCAGTTGCCAACCGGGACTAAAGGTTTTTTTTTTTTTTTTTTTCTATTTTCAATTGATATCACCTACTGTAACTCCTAAGATCTCAGAAATCACACCTTTTAGCAACTGCACAATCAAAAAACAGGTGTTGACTAGTTTCTCTCTCATTACAGAACAGACAAGATTCATCTTTTACTTTTCTTCTCTTAGCCAGATTATCTCCGGCAAGAACTCTCTTATTAACCAGCAACCACAAAAACATATGGACTCTAGGAGGGACTTTAATGCTCCATACAGCCAAAACATGAACCTTTGGCAGTAAATTGCCACATCATTTCATCATCGTCTACAGAGAACTGAAAAGTGGACAAAAGCTCTACTACTTCTAACCAGGATTGATACAGGGCCCGTAGCTCGCAGGTCCGTAGCTCCTGCGCCGATGGCTCCGTCCTCCACTTGATCTCGCCCTCCTAGGTGGAGCCTGCGGCATCAGACTGGATGTTTGATTGGAGCGAACGTAGATCCAGACCAAACCATGGTAGATCTATTGAGCCACGACACGGATCTAGCATCACAGCATCACAAAGCGACCACGGAATGAAACCCAGTGAGAAGGAAACGAGAATGAAACCCAGTGAGAAGAAAACGAAACAGACCTTGGAGTCGAGGATCTCGCCGTAGGAGGCGAAGGCATGCTCCAGGGACTCGTTGTTGGTGGCCCAGGCCAGCCCGCCGACGAAGCAACGGTACTCCACGCCCGCCGCCGCCATCTCCCCTCCCCAGAACCGAGGACGAGGACTTGGTAAGAGGGGGAGGAAAAGCCAACCCACCTCTGAGAGAGCACGGGGGAGCACGGATCCCCTACCCGGTGGTTTTATAGCGCGACGGGCGCGACGCGAGCTGAGCGGAGGATAAGGATCCGAGGTGGGCCTTCCGCACCGGGACTAAAAGTTTCCTTTAGTCCCGGATGGAGCCTCCAGCCGGGAGTAGACTTTTACTCCCGGTTGGAGGGATCAACCGGGAGTAAAAGTTAACCTTTAGTCCCGATTGGTAGCTTCAACCGGGACTACAGGTCCCCTGCAGCAAAAGCCTGGCGCAGTAGCCGTGGGCAGAGACCTTTAGTCCTCGTTGGAGCTACAAACCGGGACTAAAGATCTCTCTAGTCCCGGGCGTGAAAAATACCGGGACTAAAGCCAAATTTCGAGGTGGGATCAAATGTCGTTTCTCTACTAGTGCGTGATATTAAGGCGCCTGTGGACCTTGAAGATGTTGGATGATCTGCTTCTTGTGCAGTTGGAGAAGGTTTGTGTGAAATACTTATTCTCCAGTCCCGCGGATTGGAGATATCGTTCTTGTTGAGAAAGTGAACCAATTGTTCACAGTCCGACAAGAAATTAACACCTGAAAGGTTGAGGTTGTGGCTGACTGCCGAGGCAAGGGCAAGTAGCCTCCGCCACTGAGGAGCAATCATCAAGCCTGGTTTTGATGTAAATCGCCTGGGGCGTCTGTTCCTGAAAATTGAAACACCCAATCCAGCCGGTTTGGGCTGGGAATTTTGTTGGTCTGGCTCGATGGACGCATCCACATAGCATCTTGTACCATGAAGCAGGGCCGGTACAGTAATCGGCTGGCTGTTCATCGTGTGTGCCTGTTGTGTTGCAAGAGGCATACCTTGCATACCTGGGTGAGTGGGCGACGTTGTGATGTGTCTGTAGTTTGGGACGACGGTTCATCAGTGGCACCTGGTCCTGCAGTGGAAATCAGCGTACCTTGCAGCGTGTGAGGAGGCTGTTGCAGCGAGAGAGTTGCATCTGAGGCTGTAGTAGGTGAAGGGATGGCCTACTGGAGCCTTGCTTGGGCGTTGGTTTGAATGTGGGCAGCAACCGCATTATTTACATGCACAGGAGTCCATGTATGCCTTTGGAAGTGATTGTGATTCCTAGCTTTCCAAATATACCACAGGGCGAAAAGTATTTTATGAAAAAGAGTGTCAGAGTTTTTTTTTAATTTTAACACTTTTTTAATCTAATTTTAAATCTAACACTGTCGGTTTTTTTAAACTAACACTTTTAGCCGCGCCTATTGTCCTGACGCGGTCAAATGCCTGTGCCGCGCCATGTATGGTGGCGCGGCAGCGGTCTGACGTGGCGACGTCCGGTTTCGGTGACAGTTGACGTGGCAGGTCCTACCGCGCCACCATGCATGGCGCGGCAGTGCCGCACCCTGATCCGTGGCGTAATAGAACCGAATAAATATCGCAGCCAGTCCCGCCTGCCCGAGCAGCAAGCCCGCCTGGCCGCCGCGCCCGCCGCCCGCCCGGCGGTACCTGGACGGTTTAATCCGAACGCGTCGCGTCGACAGTGGGAGTTATTCTAAGACGCATCACGTCGATAGTGGGAGTTATTCTAAGTATTGCTTCACATAAAATCAGTAGTAGATTTGTTTCTGTTTTTTGTTGAATTTTTTTCACGGCCGAATAGAGAATTTGATAAGCCAATGATTTGTTTTCCGTCTTTCATAATACGGTTAACCACCATTTTAACTAATCGATTACGAAAAATTACCACCGACGTCGAGATACGTCGGGACTGCCGGTTCCCGAACTAGTTGGTACTTAATCTCGCGGGCAGTGCTGCAAATAAATGAATATGAAGCAAATAAATAAAATCCATGCGCAAGTTGACAAGCTGCCACATAACATTTTCATTGTTTTGACATAAGTTTGACATAAAATAACCAAATAACCCCACAAGTTTCGGACGCCAATATTCGTTTGACCTAACAAACTAAGACCCAGGAGTGTAAGGATCCCTCGGACGCCTCTGTCTCTTCGGATTTGTTGGCAACACATTGGGAGTGTAGCCAACGTCGGTATGGTCGCGTCGACGGTGCGTACGGCTCGTACCCTGCAAGTATATGATACGCACGATTACTTATAATTTTTTATGATCGTTAATTCATGGAGCCTACGTATTTAAATAAACTATCTTTGATAGTACCTGTGAGGCTCTTTGGGTACCAAGCGGGGCACCACCTAGCTGAGACATGCCGATCTTGTCCTGCGGCCAATCGTCCCACTGGTCGTGCTGTCTACGGAAGCCCGGGGGGTGGTCGTCGTCGTCATCGTCGTCCTCGGTTGCAGGGTCCTTTCTAGCGCTATGATGTGGTGGTGTACGCACCGCGGAAGTGGCACCTGTCATCGACTGAGAAGAGCCGATTGGTGTCCTCAAAAAGGCTGAAGACGTACCACCCGACCGCGCCGGGAGTGGAGGTTCCTCATAAGGAGTGTCCATGCAGCTCAGCTTCTAAGCTAGCTTCCTGCAGCTCTTCTTCACCTTCTGCATAAATAGACGTTAAAGTTAGTGCATTACCCAAACACATATAAACTAAAGAAATATTTTCGGAATGGACAAGTTTATGTTACCTCCACAAAAGTCGCGAGAACGCCTGGCCCCTGCCCTCTAGACTCGTGAAGCCAGAACGCTGCTTCGTTGGACAGCCTTGACAATTGTGTCGCCTGGGTACAGAAACGCGGTTGGATAGTTTTAGTACACATACTTAATACCAAAAGGATAACAAATTATACAATTCAAGTATATTACCACGTATCTTTGAAGCAGGGCTCTCTGTAGTTGTGTGTCCTCCCTAGTGGTAACGTCGTACACATCTTCGATGACATCTTCCTCCGAGTCCTCGTCAATCGCCATGTCAGTGTACGGAGGCTTGATATGTGTCCTCGTAGACTTGTGAAGCCACCACAGGTACTCATCGAAGGTATGCTCATCGTGTGGAGGACCCCCATGGACTTATAGAGTTTGGAATTTGGCTAGTGGTACTCTTAAGGAGGTTCATGATGTGGAGTTTGATGAAACAAATGGTTCCCAAGAGGAAGATGAGAATCTAGATGA